TTGAAATGAGCAAGAGCATACATCCTTAAGTACCGAGCATCGGAGAGGATGGGAAGGGATAAGGGAGAATCGGAGGGAATCCCAAGGGAATCCTCCCAAATCGTGGGGATTTGGGATGGATTGGGTTGGGATAGGTTGGGGATGAAAACATAGCTACACCCAACCTAACAAATATGAGTATCCCTAAAACCAACAAAGTGTCAACACACACAAATTGTGCCAACCGAATTGCAGCCTATCTCTAACACTCCCCCAGTTCTCTCTCGTACACTCGCTCTACACCGCCCACTTACTGCTGCTAGCTTCCTGTAATCCGTCATTGACTTGATCTCGTGCACCACACACTGGGACTGCAACCACGGGGAGAAAATCCACGGATATATGGGCGCAAGTTCTTTAAGTGCATGAGGAAACGACTCGTTTCCTTTCATAAAGGCACATGGGAGTGGAGGCGTGGGTTCAGAGAGGGCATGGGAACCCAGGGGCACGACTATTGGCGCATCAATTGAGACGCGCAGGGCCACGAACAACAGTGAAGGCCTGGTGGAGGCAAGTGCCACCTGAAGGGAGAGGGAGAGGGTTCTTACCCATAGGGAGGGAGTGTTACCTGGAGGGATAGAGGTGTTACCTGGAGGGAGAGAGGAGTCACCTGGAGGGAAAGAGGTGTCACCTGGAGGGAGAGAGGTGTCACCTGGAGGGAGAGAGGTGTCACCTGGAGGGAGAGAGGTGTCAACTTGAGGGAAAGAGATGTCACCTGGAGGGAAAGAGGTATCACCTGGAGGGAAAGAGGTGTCACCTGGAGGGAAAGAGGTGTCACCTGGAGGAGGGCGATGAAGGGGAGGAAGAGGTCCCTCTGAAGTCCGTTCTCATACAGCCGCACTGGCGGCGGTTGGACGTTGAGACGAGCACTGGGAAACGGGTGTGAGTGTATGGGGGGAAGATATGAGGCGCAGCACGTAAGTGAGATCCCAAGGATCTCAAAGCACCTGGGAAACGGGTGTGAGTGTATGGGGGGAAGATATGAGGCGCAGCACGTAAGTGAGATCCCAAGGATCTCAAAAGCACCTGGGAAACGGGTGTGAGTGCATGGGGAAGATATGAGGCGCCTCTCAGGACTGACTAGCATGGGGAACAGATGTGAATGTACAGCTATCTGGAAATACGGGCGCGACGGGGCCCAGGGGAGGCGCGACGGGGCCTAGCAGGCGCGACGGGCCTAGGAAGCGCGAAGGGGCCCAGCGGGCGCGACGGGGCTAGGAGGGCGCGACGGGGCCGAACGGGCGCGATGGGCCCAGAGGGGGGGGCGCGACGGGGCTTAGGAGGCGCGACGATGCCTAGAGCACGACGGGGCTCAGCGGGCTCGACGGGGCCCATGGGGGGCGCGACGGGGCCTAGGAGGCGCAACGGGGCCCAGCGGCGGCGCGTTAGGGCCTAGGGGTCGCGACGGGACCCAGCGGGCGCGACGGGGCCCAGGGGAGCGCGACGGGGCCTAGGAGGCGCGACGGGGCCCAGCGGGCACGACGGGGCCCAGGGGGGGCGCGACGGGCCTAACGAGCGCGACGGGCCCAGGGGGCGCGACGGGGCCTAGGGGGCGCGACGGGGCCTAGGAGGCGCGACGGGCGGAAGCGGTAGGGGGATCCTAACCTAAGCGTGATACCATGTTAACGTAGAAACGAATGATTACTAGAGGTGGAAACCTAGAACAAATACTAGTTGGTTGTACTCACTAGAAGCATACCTCAGTCTAGCCTATAACTTCTACATAGATAATATGTATAAGTTGACAAATAGTAGATACACAAATGGTCGTCACTGTACATTTTACACCAATAATTCCAAGATGCACATATTTTTTATTGCTGCAAGTTGAACCAATTAATGTTGTTGCGGTAACATGTGCTTGTATGCTGCTGCATTGTCTTGCTCATACTCGGTACTCTGCATCTCCATCATCCTAAGCCATCAAGTGCAGTACAAAGCGGGGCAAAAAGGGTCAGAAACAGGAAGAGGTGAGAGAGAAACAGCAGGGGGAAGGGAAGGAGGGGGGAGGGGGGGGCGGAGGGAGGAGGGCGAGGGAGAGGGGAGTGCCATGGGAGGGAGTCGATAAAGAGAAGTAGGAGAGACGTGAATGGTGAAACTCATTAACAGATACCGGTGCATCTATAAATGACAATGTTGGGCACAAACACCACAACACACACATAGAAACAGGTTGACACGGTAGCTGACTGACACATAGCTGACACATAGCGGACACATAGCTGACACATAGCTGACACATTATTGAACTGTGATTGGAATCTTGACCACTGCCTCACCTGCTGACCGTACGATCCTTAGCGAATCCCAGCTCATCGTCCACGCCACATCAGCGTCCTCGGTCTTTGCTGACCTGGCAGCCGTCCTACGTGGCGCGTTTGCGATGTAACCACGCGCTCAAAGAGCTCAAAGGGCGTGCCCTCTGCAGAGCAGACCAGGCGCGTCTTGTGCTCGTACATCACCTGGCAGGGGAGGGGTGGATACAATGCACGATACATAATACGTTCTGATGCCTTACACGGTGGGTTAGGTTGGGACACACCACCAAAGAGCTCAACGGGCGAGCCCTCTGCAGAGCAGACCAGGCGCGTCTTGTGCTCGTATACCACCTGGTAGGAATTGGGGGGGGGGACAACGAAGGCTTTTGAGCATCGTCAGAACTACTTGAGAGCAGGCGAGGGCGTCTTGTGCTCGTACATCCTGTGGTGGACAGGGGAGGATACTAAGCATGCGACATCGATACCTCTTGACAGCTCACGCGTTGGGACGCACTATCACAGAGGTGAAATGGCGTGCCCTCTGCAGAGCAGACCAGATGGGTCCTGTGCTGGTACATCACCTGACAGGGGATGGGGTGGTGGGGGGGGGGGCATATGTTACGGGCAATGTAAGGCTACTGAGCCTCGCCTTACAACTTGAGAGCAAACCAGACGGGCCCTGTGCGAGCATATGTTGCACATGACCTGGCAGGTGATGGCGGTGGGGGGACAGGAAGGTGAGGCGACATAGGAAAGGAGATCTGGAGCATACCAGGTGGGTCTTGCGCTCGTACATGACTTGGGCAGGGGATTGGGGGAAGAGGGGTGGCTATATAAGACCATTAATTCAGCCTCGTCAGTACAACTTGAGAGCAGACGAGGCGGGTCTTGTGCTCGTACATAACCTGCAGAGGATGGGGGGTGGGGGATGGGGGTTGGGGAGGGGCATACGTTAGGGAATCAAGCTACAACAGGACAGCTTGAGTGCAGATGAGGAGGGTCTTTTGCTCACATCACCTCGTGGGGATGGGATAAGCAGGAGAGCCAGTAAGGGCATTAAGCTACATCAATACCAGGCGGGAAATGTGCTCGCACACGACCTGGTAGGGGATGGGGGTGGGGAGGGGAGAGGGGAGGGGAGGGGAGGGGGCAACATAGGAAAGACGATCTGGAGTGTACACGGGAGGGGTCTTGAGCTCGAACATGAACTGATAGGGGATGGGGGGGGGAGGGGAGGGAGGAGGGGGGAGGGGGGGTGGATGGCCTAGAGCCACATATAGAACAAGTCGAATTAACACAAGGCAAATTACCTGGTTTGTGGAAGGGCCCTTACGTGTAACAATGATAAGTCAATCTTCCTAACACTCACATCAACTATATGACAGAAACAAATACGACTTTGCTCGATCCACGGTCGCACCTATTAGGATGCCAATCTCACACTCCTCTGCACAATCACAGCAATCAAATGGCAAATCCACGTGTGCATACACCCACATTTCGTACAGTCACGCGTACGAGTAAGCTGATAAGAACAAGTGGCGCTTTTTCCGACTCACATCTATTAACGTAACAAGCGGTAACCCGCCCCTCTATTGGAAGCCCCAAACGCGGGAATGCCCTCCATGGCCAGAGTGTGGAAGTTCTCTGGAGAAAAGGGGGAGAATGGAGATGAAAATGGGAATGAACGAGCGAGGAAATGAAGTGAAACAAAGCACTAACCTGCCCCTCTATTGGAGGCCCGAATGCAGGAATGCCTTCCATGGCCGGGAGTGTGGAAGTTCTCTGGAGAAAGAGAGGAAATGGATTGGCAAGTAATAATTAGTAACCCTAACAGTGAAATTCCTTTTGACATAATTCGAAAATCCCCTCCATGGCTGGAGGAGTGTTGGAAGTTTCCGAAGGCAATTAGGAGTGCAAGCAGGCCACAAGAAACAAGAGAGAAATATGTACGTACGCGACACGCCTCGGTAGTAGGATATGCAAAAGTTTTGCACAGTGAAGCTTCTTTTAGTGCAACCTAACCTACTCTGCTATCTATAGACCACCTCTGACACACTGCGGATAGTGGGGGACTTGGCTGAAGGGAAAGGGGGGCAAGGAGAGCGGCAAAGAGAAACCTACTGCAGGGGCGAAGTAATCAGCAGCGCCAAGAGGCACCTCGCAGAGCTCAAAGAACTTGACTGACGCCACTCCCTTGGCTGCTCGTTGGATCTGATGTGAGACAATATGAGGGGAGGGAGGAGAACAGGCATGAGAGGGCAAAAGTTGTTCTTGTATCTGCTCTTTTTGTATATAAAAAGACAGAAAACGGAAAGACGAGGTGACTAAGAGTCGACTCAAAAGTCACCTTGGGTGGAATTTGCTCTTTGCACCTGGTCTTTTTTATCTAAGGAAAGAAAATAAAGGAAAACAAAAAAAACAAGCCCCTGAGTTGCCTTCCCCTATGAGCACTTCCACATGTGATTTTTTAGTCGACTAAAAATCACTTTTTGAGTCGAATCACGACCAACAAGCCACAGCATAACTCACCCTAAGTTGCCTCCCCCCTGAGCACTTCCATCCACTGGAGTCATCACCGTCCCTCCACCATCAGTTTAGACTCTTCTTCTTTCTTTACTTTATTTTCTGAAGAAAGTCTCCCACCAGCGGTTCCACCTTCTCCGCCAGCAGCTCTGCTGCTCCAAGCTATGAAGAGAGAAGGAGCGACACATATGCGCATGTATGTGGATTTACATGAATGGACGAGACAGAACTCACCCTGAGTTTCCGTCCCATATTACTTCCACACCACAGGGCCCATCGCTCCCCCCCACCAGCAGTTCACCTTCTTTGCCAGCAGCTCTGCTGGGCCAAGGCTACCTCGAGCCAGGGAGAGAGCACACACATATTCAGCAGACGACACTCACCCTGAGCTTCCGTCCCATGAGCACTTCCACATCGACAGGGCCATCGCTGCCCCTCCACAAGCAGTTGTACTTTCTTCGCCAGCAGCTCCGCTGCCCCAGGGCCTGTGAAGTACCACCCTGCTCCACCTGCAGGACGGGACGCAAGCAAGCAAGGAAGGGAGGGAGGGGAGGGAGGGGGGAGGGAGGGAGGGAGGGGAGGGAGGGAGGGGGGAGGGAGGGAGGGAGGGAGGGAGGAGGGGAGGAGGGAGGGAGGGGGAGGGAGGGAGGGAGGGAGGGAGGGAGGGAGGGAGGGAGGAGGGAGGAGGAGGGAGGGAGGAGGGAGGGAGGGAGGGAGGGAGGGAGGGGGGGAGGGAGGGAGGGGGAGGGAGGGGGGAGGGAGGGAGGGGGAGGGGAGGGAGGGAGGGAGGAGGAGGGAGGGAGGGAGGGAGGGGAGGGAGGAGGAGGGAGGAGGGAGGGAGGGGGGGAGGAGGGAGGGAGGAGGGAGGGGGGAGGGGGAGGGAGGAGGGGAGGGAGGGAGGAGGGAGGGAGGAGGGGAGGGAGGGAGGGAGGAGGGAGGGAGGGAGGAGGCGGAGGGAGGGAGGGAGGGAGGAGGGAGGGAGGGAGGGAGGAGGGAGGGAGGGAGGGAGGAGGGAGGGAGGGGGAGGGAAGGAGGGAGGGGACGAAACGCATCATGGATATGCGGCACTGTCTCCATCCCTCGCACCACCAGTGCTAGGGTGAGGGACGGGCGGGGAGGGTGAGCAATAAGGTGTGTAACACTGTTCTGCAGTGAACTGGGACTGCCACAGGAGCTGGGGTGGCTCCGTGCAGAGGTCTGTGTGTGTGTGTGTGTGTGTGGTGTGTGTGTGTGTGTGTGTGCGCATGTGCATGCGTTTGTGTGTGTGTGGGTGTGCGTGTGTGTGTGTGTGTTTGTGTGTGTGTGTGCATGTGCATGCGTTTGTGTGTGTGTGGGTGTGCGTGTGTGTGCATGTGTGTGTGTGTGTTTGTGTGTGTGTGTGCATGTGTGTGTGTGTGTTTGTGCGTGTGTGTGCATGCGTGTGCGTGTGTTTGTCTGTGTGTATCGCTCACATATTCAGCAAAGATCGCCCACGGCTGCCTGCTTCCTGTAAACAAAGATTGACTTGATCACATGCACCACAAACTGGGATGGCACAATTGTGACTTTTGAGTCGACTCAAAAGTCACCTCATTGACGCGAAGACTGCACCAACACTACAACGCACTCCCTATCAGAAACTGAGAACTTGATTGATTGAAATGAGCAAGAGCATACATCCTTAAGTACCGAGCATCGGAGAGGATGGGAAGGGATAAGGGAGAATCGGAGGGAATCCCAAGGGAATCCTCCCAAATCGTGGGGATTTGGGATGGATTGGGTTGGGATAGGTTGGGGATGAAAACATAGCTACACCCAACCTAACAAATATGAGTATCCCTAAAACCAACAAGTGTCAACACACAAATTGTGCCAACCGAATTGCAGCCTATCTCTAACACACCCCCTAGGCTGCAACGTCGGATGGCAAGTCTACGTTGAAGCCGTAGGGACGCCAGTCCCATGTACGGAGGAGACGATAGTGATCACGGCGTCCAAGAGCTTTCGTAAACAAGTCGGCTGGTTGCAGTCAGAGGAAATATGCTTGACGCACAACTGCCCTCGCTGGACGAGCTCGCGCATGAAGAAGTGTCTCATTCGATGTGCTTGGTTCGTTGGTGGAAGACAGGATCTTTGGTGAGGTGGATAGTGCTCTCGTTATCACACCACAGAGTCGGGGTCTGCTGAGGATACCCGAGCTCAGCCATGAGGTAGGTAAGCCATCGAGCTTCTTGGGCTGCCATGGTGCCTGCGTATAACTCAGCTTCGCAAGATGACAATGAGACGGATGATGAGCGTGTAGATCGCCAGCTGATGACACCACTGCCAAGGGTGAAGCAATAGCCTTGGGAAGAGCGGCGGTCAGCTTGATCATCAGCCCATGAGGAGTCGCTGTATCCCTCGAGGTGAGGAGGGGTCGTGCCACCGAGAGTGAGGACGTAGTCCTTGGTGGCTTGGAGGTAGCGAAGGACGCGCTTAGCAGCCGACCAGTGGCGATTGGTGTATCGACCGGCAGCAACGTAACGCGAGAGCACACTGATGGGGTAGGCGAGGTCGGGCCTTGTGCACATCATCGCATACATGAGTGATCCGACGAGCTCGGGGTATGCCTCATCACAAGGCTCAGGCGATGGAACTGATGGAGTGGTCAGATCATGCTGCAAGGGAAGGGGAGTGGCCACTGGCTTGGCGTTGTCCATGGCAAAACGCTTGAGGACGTTGTTCACATAGAACTCTTGAGAGAGAGTGATGGTTCGAGCTTCGCGATCCCGCGAGATTTCCATCCCAAGGTAGTTCTTGAGTTCACCGAGGTCCTTCATGGCGAGAGCGTCCCCAAGAGCTTGCTTAACAGCTGCCAGCTGATCGGAGTCCTTGGAGACGAGAATCATGTCGTCAACGTAGACAAGGATGAAGAACGGGTTGTCGTTCTTGCGAATGAAGAGACTCGGATCGGCTGAGGAGGGTGGAAGTCGAGTGACTCGAGGGTTGCCTTCAGCTTCTTGTGCCATTCCCGAGGAGCCTGCTTCAACCCGTAGACTGGTCGATTCAGCTTCCAGACCGTGCCGGGTGGAAAGGGTAAGGGAAATCCTTGAGGACGTTCCATGTAGATGTCCTCGGGGAGATCCCCTTGGAGAAATGCAGCAGAGACGTCCATGGAGTGAACGTCAAAGTTGCATCGAGCAGCGATGTCCAGCAGAGTCCGAAGTGTGGGCAGTTTGGCTGTCGGAGAGAATGTGTCGAAGAAGTCCAGGCCCTTCTTCTGCGTGAAGCCTTTTGCACAGTATCGCGCCTTGAAGACTGGGAGTTCGCCAGGCAGCTGCTTGACGCGAAAAACCCATTTGCCACGGACAATGTTAACTCCTCGCGGAGGAGAGACGTCCGTGAAAGAGTTGTTGCGAATGAATGCTTCACACTCCGCGATCATGGCTGCGAGCCACTGGGGGGAGTGTGGTCCAGAGATGGCTTCATCATATGAGTTCGGGGTCGGGATGGATGGATTTTCCGAGAAGTTAAGAGTTGGAGCGTCGGCAAGGTCGGGGAAGAGATGGCAGAGCTGACGGATGGCAGCATTGATCTCAATCAGCTCCTCATGCCTATCCTCCAAGAGGCCAGGCATGGATGCACCCCCGGCAGGAGGAGGCGGATTGAGGGAGATGCGAACAGAGAGGGCGAGAGGCGGAGCGGGACCATGAGAGCGGGTGCGGTGAGCAATAGGGACAGGAGAGGAGGGAGGTGGCGGGGGAGCAGGTGGGACATCGACATAAGAGCGTCCGTGGCGACGGCGACGATAGGTGATGGGCGAGTCGGGAGGAGAGGTGGAGGTTGGAGGCGGAAACGGAGGTGAAGGCGGGGAGGGAGTCGCGGGGGCAGGGGGAGCCACAGAAGGAGAGGGAGGTGGAGGGGCAGCTGCAGGAGCGGATGCAGGGGGAAGTGCAGGCGCGGGCGGAGGTGAACGGGCAACTGTGCCAGTGGGCGAAGAGGGGTGAGAGAGAGTGGAAGGAGATGGGGAAGGTGAGAGTGAGGGGGCCGCAGGAGCGGCAGAGGGAGGAGGTGGGGTGGGTGAAGTATCGAAATCGGCCCACACAAGCGAAGGTGGAGCGGTGGGGGGTGGTGAAGAGAGGTAAAAAGGGCGACTCTCGTCAAAGGCGACATCGCGGCTACGAATGAGCTGATTGGTGGAGAGATTGAGGAAAAGGTAATCGGGAGAGTCCAGGTTGTGGCCGAGGTAGACACAGGGTTGAGCTTTGGGTGCAAATTTGCCGCCGTGGGTGCGACGTTCCTGAGGGTTGAGGAGGACATAAGCTGTACACCCCCATACGCGGAGAGAACGTGCACTGGGCTTGGTGCCGGTCCACAGTTCAGCGGGAGTGATGGCAGGCCGAAGAGGGTGAGGGTGAAGGTTGTACAGCAGCGTGGCATGAAGGAGGGCGTAACCCCAAAGGGAAGGTGGTGCACCAGCGTGAGTGAGAAGACAGCGAGCGATTTGCACGAGAGTGCGATTGCGACTTTCGGCAATGCCATTCTGCTGCGGACTGTGGGGAAGGGTGAAGGTCTGGCGAATGCCTTGGGAGGCACAGAACGCTTGAAGGGAATGGTTTCGAAATTCGCCACCGCCATCGGAATGGAGGCACTTGACTGAAGTGCGGAAATGATTTTGGGCTTGTCGAAGCCATGCGATGACGACATCTGGAACAGCTGCTTTGGAGGAGAGTAGGTGGACGGAGGCATAGCGAGAGTGATCGTCAACGAGCACTAGGAAGTAAGAGTGCCCGCCACGAGAGCGGACTGGAGCTGGGCCCCAGACGTCCATGTGGACGAGGTCAAGCGGGGCGGCTGCAGCAGAGGGCGAGGAAGGGTGAGGCAACTGGCGTAGTTTGCTTTGCGCGCAGTCCAAGCATGGAGGAGCGGGAGAAGTGGAGGGTGGAGGAAGTGTGTCGGGCAGGTGAAGAAGCAACTTCTTAGACGCAAGCTCGGAGAGCATGCGGAAGTTGGGATGCCCAAGACGATGGTGGTAAAGAATGGTTGGATCGGTGAGCTGACGGCAGGAGCACGATGATGTGGTGGAGGTAGAGTGTGCTTCAGTGGAAGATGGAGGTACTTGGAGTGTGTAGAGGTTGTTGGCGATCAGTGTGAAGCGTGCAAGTAGGGCATTGGTGGTGGGCTGAAGGAGATCACAGTGATTGGAATGAGCTGGGAAGATAGTGGTTACCCCTGCTCGTTGAATCTCATGTTGTGCAAGTAAGTTGTGCCGAAGAGTGGGCACGCATATGCCAGTGACTGTGCCAGATGGGAAGGCTGGGCATGGAAGAGTGGAGGAACCATGGGCGACAGTTGTGAAGCTGGAGTCAGCGCCCAGAAGAGGAATGGGTGCTTGGTATGGTTTGAAAGACTCTTTGTCTCGGAGGACTGTGTGGGTTGCGCCACTGTCCAGGACGAATTCAAGCGGTTTAGATGGTGTTTGTGGAGACGTCGAGTACTGGGAACTGGTTTCATTGATCATGGGAAGGCCAGGGAACAACAGGTTGAGACGAACATCAGGACTAGGGGCATGAACGGCTGAGTCCTGACTATCCTGTGCCTCAACCTGGTTGAGCTGGCGCATGCGAAGCCAGTTGGGCGGCTTGGAGTTGATACCATTCTTGGCGAACCAGTCGTCGTCCTTCTTTTTGAAACAGGTGGCGAGCGGGTGATTGGTGCCGCCGCACACCTGACCCGCACGGGGTCCCATTTTGATGACGTAAGGACAGGGTGGGTAGCGGTTACGAGTGGGTGGCGGATTGGGACGCGATGCTGGAGCCGGGACAGGAGCGCGAAGCGCATTTGCACGAGCCTGCGCAGTGTTGTCTTTTTCAGCAGAGAGAAGTGCGGAAGAGACTTTGGCAAAGGTTAGCTCTTCTGGCGGGAGATGGAGAAGCATGGAGCGGGTGACATTGTAAGAGGGGGTCAGCCCAACAAGCAGAGCTGCTGCAGGGGCTTGCTCTGGGAAGACAATGCCGAGTTGCTTCAGCTCCTGATGAATCCCTTGAATTTCAGCGACGTAATCTGCCATTCCAGGGCACTCCTCCAGACGCACTTGAAACATGCGGGGGATGAGGATCGCCACCCCCACAGCGGTTTTGTTGAGGAAGCGGTCGTTGAGGTACTCCCAGATGGCGTGCGCGGAGGGGTAGTTATGGTAAATTTTGACGAGCTCGGAAGGGGTAGTGCCGACGAAGACGCCAATGATAGCGGCGTCGGCTTGCTCCCGCACGCTGTAAGATTCCTCATACTTGGACATGGATTCCTCATGGGTTTTTAACTCTTCCCCTGTGGCTGTGGCCGAGAGCTTCTTGGGAAGGATCGGCATCTTTCCTTTGCCGCGATTGAGGAGGACATCCTTGAGGCAAATCCCCTCAATTTTGCGGCTTAGGAGATGCTTATCAACCCCATAGCTCCACTCCTTGAAGTTAGGGCTTGAGCCATTTGGGTCGAGGCGCAAGGGAGTGATCGGGTTTGAGAGAGACGCGGAAGGATACGCCATGATGCTCCAAGGACCCTTTCTCCGCGCGTAGCGCAGCTCTTAAGTCGCCGATAGGCACTTCGGCGACTTAAGAGAGCTGCGCGCAGCGCGGGCTCCGCGAAAAACAGGGTTTCCCTTTGCGGATTTTCAACACTCGGAGAAGAGGAATAGCCGATAAAGAGGGAAATCTGAACGCCAAAAATCTATGGAAACCCGCGATGTGCTGCTGCAATCCCGCTGCTCCGCGACCCCCCCTTTTCCGCTTCGCCGCTGCCCCCTTTCCGCTTCGCCGCTGCCCCCTTTCCGCTTCGCCGCTGCCCCCTTTCCGCTTCGCCGCTGCCCCCTTTCCGCTTCGCCGCTGCACCCCCCCGCTGTTGCAAGGGCGACGGGCGACAGCCCGTCCAGCTTCGACGAGCAGATGTGGGGCGACGGGCTCAGCCCGATCAGGTGCGACGAGCAGATGCAGGGCGACGGGCTCAGCCCGATCAGGTGCGACGAGCAGATGCGGGGCGACGGGCTCAGCCCGATCAGGTGCGACGAGCAGATGCGGGGCGACGGGCTCAGCCCGAAAAGAAGCGCCGCGCTGAGTTGAGGCGACTAGAAAAGCTTTGCGTTGTAAGACGCAAATGCTAGGCTCCAACGGAGCGAGAGGATCAAGAGCCGCTTAGGCGGAAACGAGCTCTGATACCATATCAGAAACTGAGAACTTGATTGATTGAAATGAGCAAGAGCATACATCCTTAAGTACCGAGCATCGGAGAGGATGGGAAGGGATAAGGGAGAATCGGAGGGAATCCCAAGGGAATCCTCCCAAATCGTGGGGATTTGGGATGGATTGGGTTGGGATAGGTTGGGGATGAAAACATAGCTACACCCAACCTAACAAATATGAGTATCCCTAAAACCAACAAAGTGTCAACACACAAAATTGTGCCAACCGAATTGCAGCCTATCTCTAACACTCCCCCCAGTTCTCTCTCGTACACTCGCTCTACACCGCCCACTTACTGCTGCTAGCTTCCTGTAATCCGTCATTGACTTGATCTCGTGCACCACACACTGGGACTGCAACCACGGGGAGAAAATCCACGGGATATATGGGCGCAAGTTCTTTAAGTGCATGAGGAAACGACTCGTTTCCTTTCATAAAGGCACATGGGAGTGGAGGCGTGGGTTCAGAGAGGGCATGGGAACCCAGGGGCACGACTATTGGCGCATCAATTGAGACGCGCAGGGCCACGAACAACAGTGAAGGCCTGGTGGAGGCAAGTGCCACCTGAAGGGAGAGGGAGAGGGTTCTTACCCATAGGGAGGGAGGTGTTACCTGGAGGGATAGAGGTGTTACCTGGAGGGAGAGAGGAGTCACCTGGAGGGAAAGAGGTGTCACCTGGAGGGAGAGAGGTGTCACCTGGAGGGAGAGAGGTGTCACCTGGAGGGAGAGAGGTGTCAACTTGAGGGAAAGAGATGTCACCTGGAGGGAAAGAGGTATCACCTGGAGGGAAAGAGGTGTCACCTGGAGGGAAAGAGGTGTCACCTGGAGGAGGGCGATGAAGGGGAGGAAGAGGTCCCTCTGAAGTCCGTTCTCATACAGCCGCACTGGCGGGCGGTTGGACGTTGAGACGAGCACCTGGGAAACGGGTGTGAGTGTATGGGGGGGAAGATATGAGGCGCAGCACGTAAGTGAGATCCCAAGGATCTCAAAAGCACCTGGGAAACGGGTGTGAGTGTATGGGGGGGAAGATATGAGGCGCAGCACGTAAGTGAGATCCCAAGGATCTCAAAAGCACCTGGGAAACGGGTGTGAGTGCATGGGGAAGATATGAGGCGCCTCTCAGGACTGACTAGCATGGGGAACAGATGTGAATGTACAGCTATGCTGGAAATACGGGCGCGACGGGGCCCAGGGGAGGCGCGACGGGGCCTAGCAGGCGCGACGGGGCCTAGGAAGCGCGAAGGGGCCCAGCGGGCGCGACGGGGCCTAGGAGGGGCGCGACGGGGCCGAACGGGCGCGATGGGGCCCAGAGGGGGGGGACGCGACGGGGCTTAGGAGGCGCGACGATGCCTAGGAGGCACGACGGGGCTCAGCGGGCTCGACGGGGCCCATGGGGGGCGCGACGGGGCCTAGGAGGCGCAACGGGGCCCAGCGGCGGCGCGTTAGGGCCTAGGGGTCGCGACGGGACCCAGCGGGCGCGACGGGGCCCAGGGGGAGCGCGACGGGGCCTAGGAGGCGCGACGGGGCCCAGCGGGCACGACGGGGCCCAGGGGGGGCGCGACGGGGCCTAACGAGCGCGACGGGGCCCAGGGGGGCGCGACGGGGCCTAGGGGGCGCGACGGGGCCTAGGAGGCGCGACGGGCGGAAGCGGTAGGCGGGGGGATCCTAACCTAAGCGTGATACCATGTTAACGTAGAAACGAATGATTACTAGAGGTGGAAACCTAGAACAAATACTAGTTGGTTGTACTCACTAGAAGCATACCTCAGTCTAGCCTATAACTTCTACATAGATAATATGTATAAGTTGACAAATAGTAGATACACAAATGGTCGTCACTGTACATTTTACACCAATAATTCCAAGATGCACATATTTTTATTGCTGCAAGTTGAACCAATTAATGTTGTTGCGGTAACATGTGCTTGTATGCTGCTGCATTGTCTTGCTCATACTCGGTACTCTGCATCTCCATCATCCTAAGCCATCAAGTGCAGTACAAAGCGGGGCAAAAAGGGTCAGAAACAGGAAGAGGTGAGAGAGAAACAGCAGGGGGAAGGGAAGGAGGGGGGAGGGGGGGGGTGCGGAGGGAGGAGGGCGAGGGAGAGGGGAGTGCCATGGGAGGGAGTCGATAAAGAGAAGTAGGAGAGACGTGAATGGTGAAACTCATTAACAGATACCGGTGCATCTATAAATGACAATGTTGGGCACAAACACCACAACACACACATAGAAACAGGTTGACACGGTAGCTGACTGACACATAGCTGACACATAGCGGACACATAGCTGACACATAGCTGACACATTATTGAACTGTGATTGGAATCTTGACCACTGCCTCACCTGCTGACCGTACGATCCTTAGCGAATCCCAGCTCATCGTCCACCGCCACATCAGCGTCCTCGGTCTTTGCTGACCTGGCAGCCGTCCTACGTGGCGCGTTTGCGATGGTAACCACGCGCTCAAAGAGCTCAAAGGGCGTGCCCTCTGCAGAGCAGACCAGGCGCGTCTTGTGCTCGTACATCACCTGGCAGGGGATGGGGGTGGATACAATGCACGATACATAATACGTTCTGATGCCTTACACGGTGGGTTAGGTTGGGACACACCACCAAAGAGCTCAACGGGCGAGCCCTCTGCAGAGCAGACCAGGCGCGTCTTGTGCTCGTATACCACCTGGTAGGGAATTGGGGGGGGGGGACAACGAAGGCTTTTGAGCATCGTCAGAACTACTTGAGAGCAGGCGAGGGCGCTCTTGTGCTCGTACATCCTGTGGTGGACAGGGGAGGATACTAAGCATGCGACATCGATACCTCTTGACAGCTCACGCGTTGGGACGCACTATCACAGAGGTGAAATGGCGTGCCCTCTGCAGAGCAGACCAGATGGGTCCTGTGCTGGTACATCACCTGACAGGGGATGGGGTGGTGGGGTGGGGTGGGCATATGTTACGGGCAATGTAAGGCTACTGAGCCTCGCCTTACAACTTGAGAGCAAACCAGACGGGCCCTGTGCGAGCATATGTTGCACATGACCTGGCAGGTGATGGCGGTGGGGGGGACAGGAAGGTGAGGCGACATAGGAAAGGAGATCTGGAGCATACCAGGTGGGTCTTGCGCTCGTACATGACTTGGGCAGGGGATTGGGGGGAAGAGGGGTGGCTATATAAGACCATTAATTCAGCCTCGTCAGTACAACTTGAGAGCAGACGAGGCGGGTCTTGTGCTCGTACATAACCTGGCAGAGGATGGGGGGTGGGGGATGGGGGTTGGGGAGGGGCATACGTTAGGGAATCAAGCTACAACAGGACAGCTTGAGTGCAGATGAGGAGGGTCTTTTGCTCACATCACCTCGTGGGGGATGGGGATAAGCAGGAGAGCCAGTAAGGGCATTAAGCTACATCAATACCAGGCGGGAAATGTGCTCGCACACGACCTGGTAGGGGATGGGGGGTGGGGAGGGGAGGGGAGGGGAGGGGAGGGGAGGGGGGGCAACATAGGAAAGACGATCTGGAGTGTACACGGGAGGGGGTCTTGAGCTCGAACATGAACTGATAGGGGATGGGGGGGGGGGAGGGGAGGGGAGGAAGGGGGGAGGGGGGGGGTGGATGGCCTAGAGCCACATATAGAACAAGTCGAATTAACACAAGGCAAATTACCTGGTTTGTGGAAGGGCCCTTACGTGTAAACAAATGATAAGTCAATCTTCCTAACACTCACATCAACTAATATGACAGAAACAAATACGACTTTGCTCGATCCACGGTCGCACCTATTAGGATGCCAATCTCACACTCCTCTGCAACAATCACAGCAATCAAATGGCAAATCCACGTGTGCATACACCCACATTTCGTACAGTCACGCGTACGAGTAAGCTGATAAGAAACAAGTGGCGCTTTTTCCGACTCACATCTATTAACGTAACAAAGCGGTAACCCGCCCCTCTATTGGAAGCCCCAAACGCGGGAATGCCCTCCATGGCCAGAGTGTGGAAGTTCTCTGGAGAAAAGGGGGAGAATGGAGATGAAAAATGGGAATGAACGAGCGAGGAAATGAAGTGAAACAAAGCACTAACCTGCCCCTCTATTGGAGGCCCCGAATGCAGGAATGCCTTCCATGGCCGGAGTGTGGAAGTTCTCTGGAGAAAAGAGAGGAAATGGATTGGCAAGTAATAATTAGTAACCCTAACAGTGAAAATTCCTTTTGACATAATTCGAAAAATCCCCTCCATGGCTGGAGGAGTGTTGGAAGTTTCCGAAGGCAATTAGGAGTGCAAGCAGGCCACAAGAAACAAGAGAGAAATATGTACGTACGCGACACGCCTCGGTAGTAGGATATGCAAAAGTTTTGCACAGTGAAGCTTCTTTTAGTGCAACCTAACCTACTCTGCTATCTATAGACCACCTCTGACACACTGCGGATAGTGGGGGACTTGGCTGAAGGGGAAAGGGGGGCAAGGAGAGCGGCAAAGAGAAACCTACTGCAGAGGGCGAAGTAATCAGCAGCGCCAAGAGGCACCTCGCAGAGCTCAAAGAACTTGACTGACGCCACTCCCTTGGCTGCTCGTTGGATCTGA